AAATTCCTTTTTAAATGGCAAAATTTGGCTAATTTACATATTTAATGTGCATGCAGTTGAATTATGGAAATTAAGGTCCTGGAACCTTTACTGTGTATTAAGAGTCCTGTGAAGGAGATCAATAGCTTGAACTTTTTTTATGTTGATGGAGTTCCCCTCAGTTCAGCTCTGATCATTTCAGGTTCGCATTCTTTTTCACTATTTTTCATTTTGGTGATAGCCAATGTTAATTATCTTAATCGAATAGAGCATCTTTCATTAGAGCATTTGAACATGTGTTGAATTAGATTTAGATTATTCCAGATATTAAGTTGCAAATTTGTGTACATTACAAAATTATAAGCCCACTAAAAGCATATGTTTCGCTAGTAATCTCCCTTTCTTAGGTTGTTTTGAACTGATTAAAAAGCAATGATTTTTGTGTACAGAGCTGGTGTTCTTGCAGCAATCACTGAAGCTCTGAAAGGATTTGTCAATGTTTATGAGGTTATAAGTACTCCTTTGTAGAAATATTTTTGCCGATTTCGAAGCTATCTTGAAATTAGTCGTCTCCGTTGATTCTCTCTGCCATGACGATTCACTCCACAGAAGTGAGATACTCAGCCTCTGTAGTTTAGCCTCTTTTAATAACAAAAGCGGACGATTAGGGTTTAGATCGAAATTACATTTGAATTACAATCTCAATAGAATTTTATTTTATTCTTTTTTGAAAATAAAAATTTTATTATATTATTTTAATAGAAATCGTCAAGCAACGATTGATAATGAAAGATACAGTCAAAATAAGAACACAACTTACAATTAAATTTAATACTATTGTTGCGTTTCTCGTGGATAAACTTATCTAGATCTACCAAATACAACGATGGATATATCACGTGCCAGATAATCAATCTGATTAAGAATATATCCCTAATCATCTGATAAAAGCCTAAAATCATAGATCTATCAAGTAAATCTATGATGACTGAATCTTATTCAACCGCACAGTGTGAAGAAACAAACGAAACTACAGACATCACAGCTACAGTATAGAAAACACCATGAGCCCTGCAAGAAAAAACCGTACCCTCTCAATAGATTACAAATAATCTATAGAATAAACTATATTTTGAAGACAAATCCCACTTAATAAACGATAAAAAGAATTGTGAACTAAGAAAAATCCAATCAATTCAACCATCGACCCATGATGAAAGATGGGAGAAAGAAAATATTTTTTAAGAGGCGGCCAGGGTGTGAGAGAATAGAGAGAGTGGGGAGGAGTTTTTTCATATCCAAACTAATCAATCTCAATAGAATTTTATTTGATCAAATAAGATTCTAAAAGATGAATCTACAATAAAGAAATAGATCTTTTTCAAATTCGGAAAGTCAGAGGGTTAAGATTGAGATTTCGAGGGTTAACAAAACTGGGATTTGGAGAGATGAATCCCGGTTAATGCCATTAATAGCTAGCTAAGCATATATTCTGGTACTTTGAGACGGAAAAAGTAGGAAAATGTTTAATCCTATGTGATATGATTTCATAACCAAGGTAATGCTTTTTGAATTTTATCTTAGTTATACTAGAGTTAGCTGGCCGCACCCCAGTAAAATAAAAAATTGTCGAGATTGCTGGTATATATTAAGAGTGATGTCGTATACATTTCAACCAATCCGTGTTTCTCAACATGGTTTCATTCAATCGGCCGATAACGCTTCATTAATCTTGATCTAATTGAACATTGGATCAACTTCATGTGATTTCTACATGCATAAATTAGTTCACACGCTACTTTGGTAAAATTGAAAAACAATATACAAACTCAAATAACAAAAAAAGGAAAAAAAGAAAAATGCATTAAGAATTTTATTTTACCGTTGCTATTCAAATACACAGTTGCGGATAAGGAGAAAAGCAAACTAATATCATATAAGAGTACTCCAAAGTCCATATCTTTGTGTAAGGGAGAAACATAGATAGGTAGAATACACTAAGCGATTTTAAAGGACTACTTAGATTGGGTGTTTGAGAAAATAAATAATTTTACTTGATCTATATTCTCTTTATTGGATTTCTTAAGAATCCTCTTTGCAATAAATAAATAAATTATCACCGTATTCATTTACGAAAGTGTTGTTGATGTTTGTATTTTATATTTTTCAATGAAGTCATTATACATTTTATATAAAAAAAAAATCTATTTCGCTTGTGTTGCAGTATTTATATTTGTATGTCTTCCCCATCCAACGCACGGGTCCAACACCTAGTGCTAATGATGACCCAATCAATGATAATAAAAACCAAACATTAACTCCAAAAAATGATAATAATACTAATATGTTTGTGTTTTTGTTAATACATTTCATAAAAAATAATAATAATAAAAATGTTTATAATGACCCAATCAATGACAATAAAAACCAAAATTTTCATCTCAAAATTTATACAACTGGAGAGGAATATATACGTCCGCAATTCCCCTCCCCATTTTTTCGTACTTCTTTTTTCCGTATTATTAACTTTACCATTTTGCTTTCAAAACAACTTTTCTTTATTCCTTCAACGACGAAAACTCAACGGCCAAAAATCAGGTGGGAGTATCCCCGTGCTGCGCTGCATGCCAAATAGAGCAAAAATTCAAATTCCTCCATTCCAATTGCAAACCAAGCGTAAGAGGTAATCCAAATTAAACACAACTTTGTCTCATACTTTATATATAGATTAACGACTTAAATTAGCTACTCACAAAATTCATTCATTTTGAAATTCAGCACTTTTCATCGTTTGGAGCAAATCCATAAAATTAAAAAATTGTGTACAACAGCCCCCAAATGAGGCTCTAGCCACACAGTTAAACCAACAGGTGATTGTGCACATGCCGTGGAATATTGAAACATACATCCTTAATTACGCAACAGAGAGATGACGACAAATATGGTCGGAATTACAACAACGCATGATACAAAATTTTTCACTTGAACATCAAAAATGATCACGAGAGAGAATTATACTTCCATAGGATATAGTCCCCAGAAAGATCCAAACAGCTGTAAAATTACCCTCCAAAGGAATCACACCACTTGTTGCAACAAACCCCCAAATGTACATCTACAAATATATCTACAAACCCCATAATGCGGTGCAATTCACAAGTCAAGACCTCTAGAAGGTCCACTTAGAGCCTTATCATCAAACTAAGCCCTCATTTCTGTTTCACAGAATATGTGTAGAAAAAACAATGTTATGGTTACAATGCTCGCATATTTTCAGTATTTACCAATGTTAACCTACGATGCAAATTCAATGGAAAAAATTTTATTTTACTTTTATTAAATACGCAAATTATAATGATTATACGTATTCTTATACCTTATTTAATAATGATTTCACTATGTCTATTACATGACTTTCATCTCATAACAATTTTCAAACAATGTAATCCTTCACAAAAATACCTCAAAACATACAATAGGGTGTTTATTCTTTAAATAAATAAAAATACAAACTGAACAAACATTTCAGAACAGATAAAGTATTAAGCTGTCAGTATGTAAATAAGCATAATGAGTTGGAGAAACATTTCCCAAAAATTTCCTTTATGATGTTTTGTTTGCATTTTCCACAACGTATCTCAATTCTGCACCGAGTTAATCTTTGTGACTTAAGACTTGTCTAGATTGTCTAATTTCTTATCAATTACGAATCATGGAGAGTTATATAGTGCCTGACTTCCCCGCATTATCTGAAGTAATATAAACAAATAAACATTAGGACTATTAATTACTCTTGATTTGAAAAATGGACGTCTTCGTCTTCTAATGCAAAATATTGTCTTCGTCTTCTAATGCAAAATCTTAGAACGACATATATATCTACGTCTATGTTACATGAAATATCAATTGCTATTTAACTCCTTAATTATCAAGTGCATTTTTTTTAGACAGCAAACATAATTACCAAATTGTCTAAATCAGTGGCGGAGCCAGGAATTTAGATTAGGGGGTTTGAAATAATTTAAGAGGCCAAGTGCACTAAATTTTTTGAAAAATAATATTAATTGTTTATTAAAAATAGCAATGTAATTTTATTTTCTCTTTCAACATACTACAACAAAATGTTTATAATCATTTCATCAATATTTTAAACATTTTTGCGACGAGAAGTCATAATGTTATGTGGTTCAAATTTATATTTTAAGATATATATTTTTTGTGGAAAATTTTAGAACAAAATCATTCTAAATTTGACAAGTGTTTTATGTAAGAAAAAAAAAGAACATACATCTTTCTATTAAATAAAAACCAATAGGTTAAAAAAAATATAATTAACTTGAATTTGACATCAAGATTTGTTCATCCGGCAAGAAGATTAGCATTTTATAAATTTAGTTTTTCTATTAACTGTTTAGCATCCTAAAATTTTTCGGGCTTTTATTTTTGTTTTAATTTGGGTCTTGATTCAGATCTTAAATGCATTCTTATAGTTCATTTAGGACTTAGACTTACAATTTTTTATTACTAAATGAATATTTACGCATCTTTTTTAGAAAATATGAATTAATACTATTATTTTCTTTTGTAAAACTTTGCTCTTTCATTTATTTTTTTACCTAAACTTTACATATATGGAATGAAAAAAAACCATTGTTCCTAATGTTTTTGTGTAAATTAATTCTAAACTTTTTAATTATTATCTTCAAATTCTCCTTGGGGTGCGAAAATAACAAATTTATACTTTTTTTAATAATTACGATACACATTTTAAAAAAAATTAACAACGGAGGGGCTGCCGCGGCACCGGCCACCCCCTGCCTCCGCCACTGGTCTAAACGGTCCAAATTCCAAAATCATTACTTCAGGTGGCCAATTGTACATTCTCAGCCAATAATCGTCTAAGTCAGGGACAAATAGTAGCACAAAACGGATAAACTCACAAAAGTAATACCGTTGTAGCCACCAAGAAAGATACTATTAACTAGAAAAGAGAATCAAGGTGAACTTATTCCTTTGAAAACTCAAGAGGCAAGAGCAAGATCCCAATAGTGACCAACCCCAGCATCAGAGAATATTTTCCGAGCAGCAGCTTCTGTCAGGCATTCCTGAATGGAAAATCTATGAAAACTTGATTTTGCAACAGAACCTTGCCACAACAACATGCACTTGTTGACAAAGGCACCATCATTTATATCGTCATCTTCATCTTCCTCATCGTTTTTCACCACCGCTGCGGCCCAATTAATACGCCTCAGCATAAGTTTCCCATATCTCTTGATGGATTTCGGACAGCCTTCCACCACCACAACGCATATGCCTTCGGAAATCACAGCAGCACAACCAGTCAAACGATTCTCATGAGCATTTGCGTCAACTTTAAATCGAGCCTGTGGATTTGCAAGGCTACCGACTTTGTAAACCGAGACCATAGTTTCCGCAATGTTTGGGCCATCAAACAGTTTTCTGTCTTTCTTTTCGCGGCGTTCGGCTGGAGTCAGTTTCCGGGCAATATTCCGATCAATATGAGCCTGCTCCCGCTCAAGAGCTGCTCTTCTAGTTTCCATTTCAAGCTTTGTTGGATTTTGCGCTGCTTCTGTTCCGGTAACTCTATGGAGGTTGCTCATTTTTAGTTTTGGCTTTGGTGGCTCAAGGAGGCCTTTTCTAATCATCTCCTGTTTATCTTTCTCCCTCTCCAAGCGACACTGAGTGCGGAGCTTCTTTTGCTCTTTTTTAGTCAGTTTCAAAGGCTGAGGCGGAGGAGGAGTCGGTTCGGCCGGAGGTTCGATCGGACGAGGATGCTCGACATAAATGGTGATCTTATCCATCTTTAGTACTAGTTTGTCATCAGTTATTAAATCACCATCTATGATGATATCATTGTAATTCCCGGACGGTAAAAAAGGTATGTCCCACCACTCAACTTCTGGAATTACTTCTTCCTTGGGCTTCTTCTCTTTGTTGATAACCACCTTCCTCTCCGACACCTCAATCAAATTCGGATTGATATTGGTTTCCGCCTTTGCCTTGTCCAGTTGTGCTTGTTTTGCCTTTAGCTCTTTCGCTCGTACTTCTCCGAATTGGCTCTTAAATCTGAGCATCTCTGCATCTTTTGACCATTTCCCTTCCTCCACAAATTGGAACGACATCCTCTTAGGTCTTAGAATCTTGGTTTTGTTAATACCCATTCTTGGGTCAAAATGAGGATTCTCGGACGGATCAACTTCTAATTCCGGCTTAAGTATCTGAAAAGCATCTTTTCTCTGGTTGTTAATGTTGACCTTGAGAGTACTCAATGTGTTTACTTTTGGCACATTTACTAAATTTCCGTGTTCATCAATTTCTCTACCCAAAGCATCCAACCGAAGAACATGCGCTTTGGCAGCTGGCTTCGGCTGAATGGTAACAACATCCAGTAGCAACGGCGGAATCTTCACCCCAGAAGCCTTGTTCAACACTGGAATCTTCTTACATTTCTCTTGAAGCTGTTTCAGCCTTTGCAAAATTTTTTTTGCCTCATCTAAACCTTCACGTGACAAACCCTCAAACTTCTTCCTCTTCTCATTCCTATCCTCCAAAACCCTAACTCTCTTGGCCCCGACGCCGCCATCACTATCCTCTCCGCTCTCGCTTCCTCTCTCTTTCCTTTTACTGTTCTTCCTCTCCGTCGAATCCTCCCTATCATACGACTTCTCTCGATCTTTCGATTTTCCGTGTTCGCGAGACCTATTTCTATGTCTGTCTACCTCGGGCTCGCTTCTTAGCTCAGCTGACTTCTCTCTCTCAATGGAGTCTTCCCCATACTTAGACCTATGGTGACTGTGGCTATGGCAGCGATTGTCATCAGACTTGTTTTTCGAAGAAGAATGATGTATATAATGGTTGTCTCGATCGGAATCTCGGTGTCTCGAGCTGGATTTTTCTTCCCTATCCATTGCCCTAGGGTCACCAAAACTATCTCCCTCCTTCTGTCGAAAAACAATAAATTCTCTCTAATATATGTATAGGAAAGAAAAGGAGTGGTTAATTATCGAGTACCTTTCCCTAGTAGAATTTTGAACTTAATTATGATCCGAATATATATATATATATATATATATACACTTCCTCCACCGCCTTTAATTTGTTGGCAAATCCAACTCCGGGAAGGATTTCAAGAAATATAAAAGGAGCAAAACTAATCCAATAATGGAGACGGGAACTAAGAATTCTATAATTACCGATCAAGTCTTTCCATTGAGCTATATCTTACATAATTTTTCTATCATATTTCCAAGAAAGGGAAAAGAAACAAAATTACCAGAGAACCTGTTCAAAGTGAAACTTAGGAAATATAAGAGAAACATGGATACCGAATCAATTATATTTCTCTCCTTGAGTTTAGGAGTACCAGTGGTCCTGATAGTTATGTTTTTGTGAGGTTGTTGTATTTGTACTAGGAAAGGTAAAACTACGGCGACAAACAGGAGTGGTACTAGGGCAACAACCGGCGATGGCGGAATGGTTATGTTGGGAACAACTGGAGATTTCACTTATGCAACGTCGGCCGGAGGACATGGCGGACATCATGGTGGTGGGTGTGGAGGCGGTGGAGGACATCATGGTGGTGGTGGATGTGGTGGCGGAGGAGGATGCGGTGGCTGCTGATGTGATTGAAATACACGATAAAAAATATACATGCAGAGATGCACATGTTTTCTTTTTATCTTCCAGCCCTTTGGGGTTGTGTTATTAGAATTCAGGGTGATGGTTCTAGTTGTACTGTTTGACACTTTGATGTATGATTAATGAAAAGTTCACGCGCTTTGATTTGTATAGATAGCGGATTAAAACATGTAAAGAAAAAATCCAATCCACAACGGGAGTTGGGGACCACAAACTTTATTAATACCGGTCAAGCCTTCCATGGAGTTTCCCTCTCCCAAGGAGAAAATGATTTTAAGAAACGACTGACATTCTTGTTGTAAGAAGAAGAAAGATCAAACTACAGCAACCACCCCAAAAAATACTACTACTAACGCAAAAACCAAAGATGCGGGAATGATTTCTTTGGGAATAAAGGATTCCATCTGAGCGTCTGTGTGTGATTCAGCAATTAATTTATACTGTATTTATTTTACAAATTATTACAAAATCGAGTTTTTTATCCAAAAAATTATTTAAAAAAGACCTAGGACAAAAATAATATAGATCTAAATTAGGTGGACAACACTAGTTCTTTTAGATTTGCAAAATCCGAGAGTACCGTACAGCCGGATTTCGCAAATCCGACTGGAACTCGGATTAGGGTAATCCGAGACTTTAGTAACCTAAAATTACTTAAGAATTAATTTAAACTTATCAAGAGTCGGATTTCGAAAATCTGAGAATCAATAATAAAAAAATATTTATTTTTTAGAAAGTTAATCTAAGTATTCGAAAATAAAAGTTGACTAGAAAACGATTAGCCTAATCCGAAACATGGAAATTCGGATTTCAGAAATTCGAAAGTTTATCATACAAAATTATTTTAACTTTTGGAAAAAAAAATCTAAGTGTTAAAAATAAAAGGGAAGAGAATCCGAGTCTCTCTGCACTTACTCTCGGATTTGAAAAATCTGAGTTGTTTAGAAAATGGCAACTTTCATATTTGCGTTCACCCGGGTAGTGCCCATACCCACACAGGGCACATTAAACTAAACCCTAAACCTTAAAATCTAACGTTTTGAACTAAATCGGATATTGAAAATCTAATTTTTAGTTAAACTCGGATTTTGATTTTAAATTAAAATCCGAGTTTAAACTAAAATCGGATTTGGAAAATCCGTTACTAAACTCTAAACCCTAAACCCTAAAAGTAGGATTTTAGAAATCCGAGTTTAAGCTCGAAATTCGAGTTTAAGCCAATCTCGGATTCTTGTAATTCGAATTTGAGATAAATTCGGATTTGGAAAATCCAAAATTAAACTCTAAACCCTATGGCCTGATTTTGAAAATCCAATTTTTTGCTCAACTCGAATTCTGAAAATTCGATTATTTGCTTAAAAAGTACATAATTAACACTAGTACAGATGAATTATACTGAATTAATAATAATATCTAATAATTAACAGATTTAACAGTAATAAGTAACACTAGTACTAGTGAAGTATAATGGGTAATAATATTAATGTACTACATAATACAAGTACGTACAAATAGTATATAACACTAGTACACATGAATTATACTGAATTAATAATAATATCTAAGAATTAACAGATATAACAATAATAAGTAACATTAGTATCAGTTATGTACAGTGGGTAATAGTATTAATATACTACATAATACTAGTACGTATAAAAAATACATAACACTAGTAAATATGAATTATACTGAATTAATGATAATATCTAATGACTAACAGATTTAACAATAAAAAGTAACACTAGTACCACTGATTTATAGTGGGTAATAGTATTAATGTACTATATACTACTAGTACGGATAATGTACATAACACTATTACATATGAATTATACTGAATTAATGATAATATCTAATGACTAACAGATTTAACAGTAATAAGTAACACTAGTACTAGTGATGTATAGTGGGTAATAGTACTATTAACGTACTACATAATACTAGTACGTACAAATAGTACATAACACGACGTAACACTAGTACTATATATTTTTCATCAATTATACTGAATTAATTTAATTCAAATTCCTATCAGATTTAATAATACTACGTAACATTAGTAATATATATTTTTCATCAATTTAATGTAAATTCTTAGAAATTATTAGTAGTAAAAGATTTTATTAATATCATATCTAATTCAATATTTTTTATTTTTTATTTTTTTAAAAGTGGATATGTCAATTTAATACCAATTTCTATCAAAACTCAAAATTTCAAAGTTTTTTGCACTAAAAGATTTTTTTTTTTAAAGGGTAGTTCGGATTTCCGAAATCCGATTTCATTTTTCATTTATTAAATTTTCAAACTTTCCCACCATAAATAAAGTTTTAAATTTTCCCGCCCTTTAGCTTTTTTTTTTTTTTAAAAAAAAATTATGTTGGGGAAGCTCTCGGATTTCGGAAATCCGAGTTTACTATACACATTTCGACCTCGGTTCTTTTATTTTTTTCAAAATAACAAAAAAATTAATATTTTTTTATTTTTTATTTTTTCAGATTTGACAAATTCGAAAGTCTGATTAATTAGAGTCTCGGATTTGCCGAATCCGAGACAATTACTTATGTCCACCAAAATTAAAGTAAAAATTTTTTTGTCCACATCAATTCTTTTGAATTTTTTTGGCCGAACGACCCTTACAAAATCTAGGTTATCAATGGAGGATTACTTTCAGATTCTTCGTCCTCCAAATCAAAACAATGGTGATAGCAAGAGTTGGGGGGGCTGCCTTAATCTTTGGGTTTAGATTTATCTTTTTATTGGAAGAAAAAACCAGCGAAATTGTTGATAATAAGTAATAGATTAGCAAGTAGTAAGAATATACGACAGATTTGTTCCACCACTTTCGCCTATATTAACAAGTGATATAGATTAGCAAGTAATAAATTTGAGTATCAGAGAGATTAGCAAGTAGTATCGATATTCAGTAAAACTTCTCTAAATTAATTTTGTATAAATTTATAACCTCTATTAAATAATAATTTTTGCTGGTCTCAACTCGGGACCATTACAAAAAATGAATAAACTCGATTAATATATAATATAATAAATTTCCAAGAATCCCATATGTAAATATAGGTACCTACATTTTCATAAATTAAAAATTACCGAAACAAAAATTAATAATTTCTAGTAAAGTATGAATCTATTGATCTTTATTTTTTCTTAAAATTTATATCTATCGAGATATCATCTTTAATCTTTCTCATTGCATTGAAAAGTTCCAGTATTACTTTGTCATACTGGAACAAAAAATTATGAAGAGTTGTTGCTGCCTTTAGTACTTCTTTTCTGGAGATTCAAAATTTTACAACCACACAAAAAAACCCCAGTACCTTATTAATAAAGTTAGAAATTCATATTTATAACTGACTTTTCTTTTCTTCTTGGCAAAGCTTATTCTCTATTAGGATTGAAAAAAATCTTTAAATTAATAAATTTCAATTTATCGATAAATTAATAACTCGATAAATTAATAAATTTTGGGGGCCCAAACTATTAATTCAGAGAGGTTTTCCTATACGATTATTGGATAACTTTTGACTAGACGCTTTAATAAAAAAACCAACCAGTGAACCGTAGAGTATTCCATATATAAAAGGAGTATTACTCTTATTTTCAAATGGATGTTATTAGTGTCATTGTCTTTTAATCCAAAATCTTAGAACCAAACATACACCCGTATATGTTACATGGAAACATCCACCGCTATGTTAAAATTCCTCCACCGCCTATTATTTGTTGTCAAATTCAACTACGGAAAGGATTCGGTATAAAAAGGAGCAAAACTAAGGCTCCATTTGGACAAGTATTTTAAAAATTTGTTTAAAAAATTCTATTTGAACCAAAACTTTAAAAAGTACACCTTTGAAAAATAATGCATTTAGACAAGCATTTTTCAAAACCCTTTTAGTAACTAAAAATATTAAAAAGTCATTTGGACTAGGTCTTTTTCAAAATTTCTTTTTCTTCAAAATAATTTGTGAAATTTTTTTTAAAAAAAGAAAATCATTCTTTTTTTTAAACAAAGGTTATAACTTATAAAGAAAATCATTCTTACACAAATTGTCATTATTATTATTATTATTTCACTTTTTTTTCCTAAAATTTTGTTTTATTATTCACAATTGTCTTGTTCCAAAAATTTCTTTTCCATACTTTATCTTCCAATATAAATTAAAATTAGAGTATAATTTTAAAACCATTCTGACTAAATTAAAACATAATATTAAAACTATTCTAAGTTATTAAATGCATAATAACTTAT